GCAGAACCTTGTAACTTCCTCAATTCCCTGAGCCGTGCCACGTCCTTGAGTTTCCTGGGTTCGGCATGTTGCCTGGACTTCCCCGTCCCAAAGAGGAATGTTTCAGTTCAGAGGAAATGGCTGCACAGGAGGTGCCCAGAGTGGTCTAGTCCCCGGTTCCTAGATGGTGGCTTCTTGTTGTCATAACAGCAGAAGGGACCCAGGAGCTCTCCAGAGTCCCTTGCCTGCTTCTTCCCATGGTTAAGTCTCATCAAAGCCTGGGGTGGGGAGAGAGGCATGCAAGGAGGGCCGAGCACGGGGCCCAGGGGTGGGGGGGCGATATTAGACAGGTGGCCGATCATTTCTGAGTTTCAGGTTCCTCGTCTGCTTGTATCTAGTAACAGTCGGTATACCGTGGGAGGTTCTGGAAAGCAGGGTGCTCAGACCCTCCCAAGTCCAGTTAGAGTCAAGCTCTGGGACCTTGACCTTGCTCGGCCTGCACCCCTCCCCTGGAGGTTTCTGTCACAGTGCTGAGATCACGAGGAGGTTCTGGATGCTCTGACTTCTGGTTCCTTCAGGAGGCCATGGGTTGTAACTGGGCAACTCTGTCCCCAAGTGACTGTCCCTTTCAAGGACACTTGTCATTGGATCTAGGGCCCATCCATTTAAGCCAGGATGATCTCATCGGAAGTTTAATTACATCTGCAAAGACATTCGTGTCCAATCACATAAGAACCAGTTTCCAAGGACGAAGGCGTGCCCAGGCCAAGGCACAAAACTTTCAGTGTATTGGACTCCAGCAGTCAGGAGGCTGAGGCAGGAGGATTGCCACAAGTTCAAGGCCAGCCGGGGCTGCAGAGTGAAACCCTGTCTCAAAAGTAATAATAATAATAATAATAATAAAAACAAAAGCAACAGTTTCTTGGTCACCCTACACCGAAGCATTAGATCCTTTTATAAAAGGCTACATCCTAGCTGGGCAATGGGAGCACACCTTTAATGCCAGCAGAGGCAGGCGGATCTCTGAGTTTGGGGCCAGCCTAGTCTACAGAGCAAGTTTCAGGACAGCCAGGGCTACACAGAGAAATCTTGTCTTGAAAAAAAAATTAATAACTGATGGCTTATGTGGTCGCGCACGCATGCACACACACACACACACACACAGACACGTGTACACACACAGGCATGCATTTCTTGGCTCATCACTATCTAGACACGTTCAGCAGACATTCAGATCTGATCCAGAGTTAGGACTAAAGGTGCCCTTCTGAAAGCCCCTCTCCTTTACCTCCCTCCAACAGTTAGAATGTGAATCTCTAATTATAGGCGGTGTTTGAGAGTTACTAGATGAAATTATCAGCTGTAGATATGACACCAGTCTTGGGGTATGGGGGGGGTCATACTGTTCTCATACAAAGCCCAATTGTTAATTGCTTGTTCGACATTGAGCTATGTAAAAACAAAACACCCTTTTGGTGTTTAATTTTAAAAGTAAATGTGGCAGAAAGAACAGTGGGTTGCCCTGAAGGACCTGTGATCTGCAGGTGAAAATGTCTGATGTTTCTCAGGTCTTGGTGGCTTTATCTAGCAAACTGCGGACATGAAACCAAATTTTCACTGTCTGCTTAAAAATTAAAATTTTGGCTTGCTGAGGTGGCTCAGCTGACAAAGGCACCTGCTGCCCAGTGACCTGAGTGTGATCTCCAGAACCACGTGGGGGAGGGAAAGACCTGACTCCTGTGTTGACCTCTGACTTCCACATATGTACCATGGTGTACGTGTGTACGCACACATTAATTAAAGAAAATTTCAATGTAAACTCCTACAAATTTTATAGAACTTCCTTTCTATCTCTGGTAAACATAAACTCATTCACATCCAACCTCCTCCCACAACTTTACTTCACAGTAGGCAGCTATAATTTTAATTTTACTTTTTTATTTATTTTACTGGGGGGGGGGGACAGTTTTTGAGACAGGGTTTCTTCGCATAGACTTGGCTATCCCGGAAATCGCTCTGTGAACCAGGCTGGCAAAACTCAGAGATCCACCTGCCTCTGCCTGAGTGCTGGGATTAAAGGTGTGTGCCACCACCGCCCGGCAATATAGTTTTTAATTTTTGTGGTGCCATCAAGAACTGGTTTCTCTTCCAGAAGACCTGAGTTCAATTCCCAGAACCCATATGGCAGTTCACAGCTGTCTGCAACTCCATTTCCAAGGTATCTGACTCCCTCACACAGACACACATGCAAAACACCAATGCACATAAAGTAAAGATAAATTTTAAAACTTTTTTTTTAAAAAGTCTTCCACTATGGATGCCATTATACAACCAGTTTATAATCCCAGAAAGTTAAGGCATTTTCAAAATACATTGATAGAAACATAAGGTAGGCTGTTTAGAGCGGAACAAGGAATCTCTGCTGTAGGTCTCAGATGCTATCTGAAGACATCCTTAAATTTGGGCTTGAAGGAAACCAGTGGTCAGCTAGAAATATATCCCAAAGGTTTCGGATGATAGGAAAGGGATGTCAGGTTAGATACAGAAGTGTGCAGTGAATATCTACCAAGGACACTAGAGATAGCCCCAAGGTAATCGTGGTTCTTGATCTAGTCCATTCTAACGCTCTGTGACCATAAAGTTACCATCAGTGAGTCAGCGTTGCGGAATCTTCAGGTCACAGCTTCAACTCTAAAGGCCCGAGTGTGGGAACTGACCCCAGAGGCAGCCTGTGTTTCCTGGGGAATGGTGGATATGTGGTGGGATTCAAGGGCAACCTGAGAACCCTCGTCATAGGCATCCACAGGTGGCCTTGCAGAACCTCAGCCACACCTGAGTTGTCTGTCATCTGAGTTACAAAGGCTGGGCTGCCGCCACAGCAGCTGCTGGGTTCATGTCTTCCCCTGTCTGCCTCTGTGTGTTTGGGGGTGCACAGAGGTCAGAGGAAAATCATCTATGCTGGTTGAAGACAGCTGATCTATAAGCTTTCCAATATGCCCCTGCCTTAGTTTCCCATCACAGCCGGACTTGCAGGTTTTCATGAGAGTCCTGGAAAGTTTTACTAGCCAAGCCGTCTATCTCCCCAGCCCTCCATCTGCCTGTACTCCCAGGCCCCCTGGGGAGGAGGAGCCCTCATTTCTTGCTCCATCCTGTAGCCTGTACTGTGTGTGAGGTTCTATATCATTCTAGGATCCCACACCCCACTCAGGATCCCAGGAGAAGCGGCCAGACCCAAGACTGCACAGCAAATCCCAGGGAACCTGCAATTCTTCTCTATGTTCTTGAGAATTAGGTATTTTTAAACACAGCTGGGTGGTGCTGGCACACCCCTTTAGTCCCAGCACTCGGGAGACAGAGGCAGGTGGATCTCTGTGAATTCGAGGTCAGCCTGGTCTACAGAGTATATTCTAGGGCAGCCAGGGCTGTTACACTGAGAAGCCCTGTCTTGAAAAACAGAAAAAAAAAAGTAAATAAATATATAAATAAAGCTTTATCATGGTATTTCGTGCCTGTTATCCTAGCACTTAGGAGACAGAGGTAAGAGGATCAGGAACTCAAATGGTATAGTGTCTGAAGCCAGCCTGGGCTACATGAGACCCTGTCCCAAACAACAAACACACACAAATATATCTATATACAATATAGACAGACAGGCCTCTCTGTAGTGTTGACTGGTCTGCAATGTGATATAGACCAGGCTGACCTCAAACTCAGAGAGCTCTGCCTGCCTCTGCCTCTAAAGTGTTGGGATCAAAAGCATGTGCCACCATGCCCAACCTAAATATAATTTTTCTTTTGAAGAAAGAAAAACATGCAGTTTCATAAGTCTAGTTTTTAATGACCATATTTGACTATATTAAATGTTTATATTTAATGTCAGTGAATAACTAAGCCAATTGTGTTGTATTTTCCCATTTCTAAAATTGGAGTACATGTAATTCACATTTTTATTTCAATGTTGATGATCAAACTCAGGGCCTCACATGTGTGAAGCAAGCACTCTACCATCGAGAGACACCCCCAGCCCTCGATCTCTTAAGTAGTGTGTAATTTCATTGTTTTTGTACAGCCACAAGGCTATGTAGTTACCACCACTAATCCCAGCACATTTTCCTTTTCTTTGGTTTTTTTTTTTAAATTCATGTGTGTGCGTGTCTGTGTGTCTGTGTGTCCATGCATATCTGTGTTCATGCATGTGTGTGTTGTGTTCATGTGTGTGTCTGTGTGTCTTTGTGTGTTCATGCATGTCTATGTTCATGCATGTGTGTCTGTGTGTTTGTGTGTTCATACGTGTCTGTGTGTGTGTATGTGCGTGCTCACGCATGTGTGAACATGGAGGTCAGGAGACAGCTTTCAGGAGACCGTTATCTCTGCCCCCCCCCCGTGAGCAGGGTCTCTTTCTCCTCCATTGCACAGTGTAGTCCAGGTCACTGACACTGGAACTCCCAGCTGAATCTTCTGTCTCTACCTCCCTCCCATCCCCATAGTCATGCTGGGGCTGCAGATGTTCACCACCGCATCTGGCTTTTTATGTGGGTTCCAGGAATGGAACCTGGGTACTCAGGCTTGCATGGCAAGTGTTTGCCTGCTGAGACATCTCCCCAGCCTCTCCAGCATGTTTTCTTCCTCTTCTCGGTTACCAGTCTCCCCTTAGTAGTGATCCCCAAAATCCTCCCCCATTCTGGTTCCTAGTCACCATTGGTCTCCTGTCTAGATTTTGCCCATTCTAGACTTTTTTGTTTGTTTGTTTGTTTTTGAGACAGAGTTTCTCTGTGTAGCTCTGTAGACCAGGCCTGTCTCAAAATCACAGAGATACCCCTGCTTCTGCCTCCATAAAGATAACTTTTTTTTTTGAGACAAAGTCCAGGTAGCCCAGGCTGGCCTCAGACTCAGAGTGCAGCTGAGTTGATCTTCAACTGCTGATCCTCCTGCCTCCGCCTGCCGAGTGCTGGGGTTACAGCCCTGTGCTGTGACAGCTGTAACGTTTTCATATACCAGTTCATTCTGTGTATCTTTCCTAGGATCCTAAACACTTCAAGTCTGAGAAGACAGGCCGGGGGCAGCTAAGAGAAGGCTGGCGGGATAGCCATCAGCCCATCATGTGCTCCTACAAGCTAGTGACCGTCAAGTTCGAGGTGTGGGGCCTTCAGACCCGCGTGGAGCAATTTGTGCACAAGGTGAGTGATCAGCTCAGCCCCTGGGATTCAGACAAGGTCACTGCATCATTGCCAAGTTGAACCGGTAGCAGGTGCCTGTATCTAGAAAATGCTTTTTAGATGAAAATGTATTTTCTATATGGGTGTAATTTCCTCGCACTGCTCAGTGTAGCAGTTTTATATGTCACCTCTCATTCTGTGACCTCCGAATCTACTGAATGAGTATATTTGGGAGGTGGGACTCACAGAATGTTCGGCTCGCTCTGGCAATCAGGCTAATCTACCTCTAGGTAGGGGCACTTGGCAAGAGCCCAGAAGGCTTATCTCCGGGCACAGCTGCTAGGGATAATTGTCCCTTGGAAGAACTTGCATACGTAGGCACCAAAAGTAGAAGAGCCCCAAGAGGCAGAACAGAAGCTCCGAGAGGGCCATTGGGGGCACACCTCAGCGCTCTGCTCACATCGTCATTCTGGTACTAAAGAATGATGAACAAGCTCAAAGCGCAGATTTTAACCGAGTGCTCACTTTGGAAAAAAGATTAACTTTGGTGCTGGGACCGACTTGATGATAGCACAAGGTTTCTCAGGGTCTCAAATACAACTGTTCTCCACATAACTCTGAAATAATGGGACATGAGATGCCGAGCTGTGCCCTCTGTAACTGCTTTGGTTTACATACGGGTAAATAAGCAGGCCAGTGAAATGACTCAGTGATAAAGGCTCTTGCTGCCAAGCCTGACAACCAGAGTTCAGTCCCCCGGGCCCATGTGAAGGAGAGACCCGATGCCTGCAAGTCATCCCCTGACCTCCACACATGTGTTGAGGCTTGTGTGAGCATGTGTACACATAACAATGAACAGATGTTATGAATTTCTAAACAGCCGGGCAATGGTGGCACACGCCTTTAATGCCAGCACACAGGAGGCAAAGTCAGATGCATCTCTGACTTGGAGGACTGCCTGATCTACAGAGAAAGTTCCAGGACAGTCAGGGCTAGACAGAAAAACTTTCTTGGAAAAGACGAAATAAATAAATGAAGAATGAATAAAATATATTACAAATACATAAGTAATTCCCAATGTCACAGAGGCTGGGTTGTAGCCCAATTGACAGACTACTTGCCTAGTGTGGACATGCAGCCCTGTGTTACATCCTCAGCTCTTCATAAACTAGTCTTGGTGGTGCACAGCTGTAATCCCAGCACTCTGAAGGTGGGAGCAGGGAGATCTCAAGTTCAAATTCATCCTCAGTCGAATAGTGAGTTCAAGGCCGTCCTGGGCTACAAGTAAGACCTTCACACACACACACACACAATATATATATATATATATATATATATATATATTTCAAGTTTTTTTCTGTATTTTAGAAAAATTTGCTCTCTGTTTCTGCACTAATAACTGACAAAGAATAGCTTTCCAAAATTCCTTTCTCGACACGGTTGTTTTTCCTTCAGGCACGGAGTTTTTCTTACTTAGTTGAACCTGTCTGCACACTGGGGTCACTTGACAATAGCCACATGGAGGCTTGTTCTTGTGTTTGAGATGGGACCCTTACTATATTGCTGAGACTGACCTAAAGCTCCTCCTGCCCCAGTCTCCCCTGGAGCTGGGATTTACAGCTGTGCATCTAGCATCTGGATAGAGAGTTTCATTCTTGAAGTTAGAACTGTGGAATCGATGGCCGAGTCCCATTTCCTTCACCACCCAGACTGCGGGAAGAGCAGGCTCTGTGATGGACCTCCAGATTTTCTTACAGGAAAAGCATGTAGTTCTCTGCTGGGCCCCATACACATCCCACCATCCAGAAGAGGGAACGGAGTGGGCTGCAGAGCGGTCAAGTTCACAGACTGCTGCCCTAGCTATGTTTCTCTTGATGTGATAAAATCTCGTGACAAAAGGAAACCTGGGCGAGAAAGGGTTTGTCTTAGCTTACCATTCCGCCTGCCTTCCAGCATGAACTCAAAGCAGCTAGTCGCATCACAGCCACAGTCAAGAGCCGAGAGAGATAAATGCTTGCATGACTACTGTCCAGCTCACTTTCTCTGCTCTTACACAGTTGTGAACTTACGCCTAAGGAATGGTGCCACCCGAGATGGACAGAACTACACAGCAATTAAAGCAGTTAATAAAAACCCTTCATTTCCTCTAACTGCAGTACTTGGGAGGCAGAGACAGGCATATATCTGTGAGTTTAAGCCCAGCCTTGTCTATGTAGCACATTGCAGCCTAGGCAGGGCTACATGGTGACTCCCTGTCCAATAAAAAGAAAAAGAAAAAAATCCTTCACAGGCATGCCCATAGTCAACCTGATCTGGGTAATTCCTCGTTAAGGCTCCCTTCCTAGATGACTGTAGACTGTGTTGAGCTGGCAATTATAGCTCACCATTACAGAGCCCTCTTATTTTTGTGTCCTGACCTTGGATATTGAGCAGAGAGACAACTGCAGAGTAAATATGCTTCAGTCTAAATTTCATTCCTTGTCTGCATCATCCTCTCGTTCTTAGCTACAGTCTCTTGCTGCCTCTCTTTCCCTCTCTCAAGCTCTCTCCTCTTGCTTTTGTTGTTGTTTTTTATTTAGATTTATATTTATATGAGTGATTTTGCCTGCCTGTTGTCCACAAACGTCAGAAGAGGGTGTTGCGTCCCCCGGTGGCTGTCAGCTGCCACTCAAGAGCTGGGAATCCAGCACAGTTCCTAAGCAAGAGAGGCCAGTGCTCTTAGACACTGAACCAACCCTCCAGCTCCTGTTTTTATTCTTTTGAAGGAAGGTCTCACACAGCCCAACCTGCCCTCAAACTCACTGCGTAGACACGGCTGCCCACGTGCTGGAATCACGGGTGTGTGCCACAACACTTGCCTTCTTCCCCTTTTTCTGTTTTCCCAAAATCATCTCCTTTAACTAAAAAATCACTGTAGTGGTCATACATCTTACCGTCTCTCACAAAACACGTTTAAATTGCCCAGAGCTCATTTCGTTTATTTCCTTATGATGACTTTGGCTGGTTCTGAGAACCCATCTCTTTGAAAAACCTGTGAGAATGATGCTTTGGTTCTTTGTATTCCACCCCCACCACCACCCCCCACCCCCACCTCCCCACCCCACCCCCGCCCAATTCCAAACTAAATGAAGTGTTATAACCCCTGGCCCCAACACACCTGCTCTGCCAACGAGGGAGTATTTACATGGACTGAAAGGGGGGGTCTCTAAACACCTTTGTTTTTTAAGAATCTATTCACAGTGGGGGGGGTATTCAAAAGCCAACCATTAACACATTATTGAAGCCTTGTTGCCAGCCACAGCTGTGTTGTGCTTAATGTGATAGGGTGGATTTACAAGTGCCTTTATGCTGTTCTTTTGATTTCCATGAATTTGACACAGTCAGCACTCAAGTGTGTATGGCTGCATGGTATTTCTTAGCTTCGTTACATGTCTCCACTTCCAAATCATAAAAGGCCCTAACCAGATACCCAGAGGCCTAGAGGAATAAACACTTCATTAGAAACGCTTCCCTTGTTTCTGCAAATCCACCCAATTAAAACCCATTGCTCATCGAAACACACTTCAACCTTCCGTGAGAGGGTTTTGACAGTCGCTGGGTTTGCTTGGCAAAAAAGAAAAGAAGGGATGCTGGAGGCAGTCTGTGAGCTTCCATGAAATGTAATAAGGAATATTTATGGGCCGAGGAGATGGCCCCAGAGGTAAAGTGCTTGCTGCCTGAGATTCCCCAGCAACAACTTAAAAGCTAGGTCTGGGCGTGGCAATGCATGTGTATGTATGAACCACTAGCACTGGGACAGGCTGGGGCAGGGAGGAGGGGACACTTGGAGGCTGTTATTCAGCCAGCCTAGCCAGTTGCTGGTTTCCAGGTTCAAGGAGAGACCCTATCTCAGAAAATAAGATGGGGCCTGGCAGGATGGTTCAGTGGGTAAGGCACTTACCACCCAGCCTGCAGACATGAATTCAGTCCTCAAAATCCCTATGGGGGAAGGAATAAAGGTCTGGAGAGGTGGTTCAAAGGTTAAGAGCACTGACTGCTCTTCCAGAGGTCGTGAGTTCAATTCCCAGCAACCACATGGTGGCTCACAACCATCTGTAATGAGATCGGTGCCCTCTTCTGGCCTGCAGGCACACATGGAGGCAGAATACTGTATACATAATAGATAGATAGATAGATAGATAGATAGATAGATAGATAGATAGATAGAGATAGAGAGAGAGATCTTTTTTAAAAGTTTAAATAAGTTGCATAGCAATAGAAGGCTCTTCCAACATCAGCCCTTTACCTGTGTGCATCTGGTGAGAGCACTCATACACAAGTATATTTACACAGGATGAATTATAAATATATTTTCTTTAGCCTTTCAATTTCCCCATAAGAAACAATTGCAGGCAATGCAGGTATAAGAACCTGAGTTCAGACCTTGAAAGAACAATACTCAAGTACATATGAAAAAACTATCAGTTTCTTAATCCTTTTGTCCATGTGTGCTGGCAACCAAAGGCTGACATGCACAGGCGAGGTATTTGCTCTTTCCTTTTGGTAAGCTTGTGTTTGTTATTATTGCCCATGAGAGTGTCATGGCATACTATGGAGGTCAGAGGACATGAATTGGTTCTCTCCTTCATCCATAGGTCCCAGGGATGGAGCTTAGATAGTCAGGGTACACAGCTGAGCTATCTCAAGAGCCCCAGGGCTTGCTCTTGGCCAGCTGTCTTCATCCTTAGTGACCATGCCTGGCTCCATCTTACTTGTGAGTCAGGCTAAAGGTGTGTACAAACTACAGACGACTTCTGGATGACTCCTCTAGGCTAGTCACCCTGAGATTTAACTAGTACAGAGTCTACGCTTCCTTCCAAGGAGGGCAGATGTCTAGATGGAAATGAACGCTTTTCTGAATAACAAAGATCACTATCTTAGTGACTTTCCTAATACTGTGAAGGCACACCATAACCAAGGAATCTTATAAAACAATGTGTTTGGAGCTGGAGAGATGGCTCACAGGTTAAGAGCATTGGCTGCTCTTCCAGAGTTCCTGAGTTCAGTCACCAGAAACCACATGGTAGCTCACAACCATCTACAAGAGATCTGGTGCTCTCTTCTGGCCTGCAGGCAAAACACTGTGTGCATAATAAATGCATGCATGCATGCATGCATGCATACATACATAAACTGGTAGACATGTTTAATTGGAGGCTTGATAACAGTCTCAGAGGGTGAGTCCATGATCATCATGGCAAGCAGCAGATAGTCAGTAGAGCAGTAGAGGAGAGTTTACGTCTTATCCATAAGTTGGAGGCAGAAAGCAAGCTAACTGGAAGAGTGTAGGTCTTTGAAACCTCAAAGCCCATCCCCATTGATACACCTCCTCTATCAAGGCCACACTTCCCAATCCTTACCAAACAGTTCTACCAAGTATTCAAGCCTGTGAGCCTCTGAGGGTCATATCATTCAAACCACGACAATCACTTACCACTCTCCTTTCTCTGATGCAGTATCCCCTGCATCTACATCCCACCCTTGTTCTTCTGGTATGCTCATAAGCCAGAGCTGGTGTGTTGGGGATGTCCGTAACACTTTGTTCCATTTGGAATTGAGAGATGAATGCATGTGACCAAAGCATCATTCTTACAATATGTGAGATAGGTAAATGTCCTTGCAGGTTTGCTTGATTTTTATATAATAAAAAGAAAAAATAGTGAATTATTATTGAAAGAGATACAGGGCTGGGGAAATGGCTCAGTGGTTAGGACCAAGATTTGATTCCCAACACTCACATGATGACTTACAACTATGTACAATTCCTGTTCCAAGAGTCTGACACCCTCTTGATTTCCTCAGACACTGTATGCATATAGTACACATACATTTGTGCAGGCAAGACTCTCATACACATAAAAATAAGTAAATAGATCTTTAAGGAAGAGTTGACCTAGGTGGTGGTGGAGGACACCTTTAATCGCAACACTCAGGAGGCAGAGGCAAGTGGATCTCTGTGAGTTCAAAGCCAGCCTGGTCTATAGAGTGAGTTCCCGGACAGCCAGGACTGTTACACAGAGAAACCCTGTCTCAAAAAAACCATAAAAAAGAAAGAGAGGGAGAGATTAAATAAGAAAGCTGAACTAAAATGTTTCATATTATTTTACTTTATTGTTATTATCTGGGGCCTATCTTTGTAAGTACGGAAGTGGGGCCTTCTTGCCCATCCATGCTCTTATTAAGACCAGAAGTTGACATCTGTGTCTTCAAATATCTCTCTCCTTGCTCTGTCTTTATCTCCCAAGCTTTTAAATTTTTCTCTTAAATTATTTTACTACATTTTGTTTATTTGTTTAGCGGGGGAGGAGGACATTGAGTGTCATGGCACTTAAGGAGGTCAGAGGACACTTAACAGGAACCTGTTCTCTCCCGCCACCATTTCTGCCAATTGAACTCAGGTGGGCAGGCTTGGCAGGAGGTACCTCTACCTTCGAACCTCTCTCGATGACCCCAGCTTATGTTTTGAGGCAGACACCCTCACTAAACTTGGGGTTCACTGACAGGCCAGACTGGCTGTCCAGAGAGCTGCTGGTAAACCCCCATTTCCACTCTCCACAGCACTCTCCAGTTTACAGGCATACATAAGGCATCTAATGTTTCCATGGGTGCTCAAACTCACGCCGCCAGCCCTTTACCCCCTGAGATGTGTCTCCAGCCCCTCAACCCTCAGACAATCTTGATCACACCTGGGATTATTTCAACCTCCTTCTCTTCCTATTTAGGTGGTCCGAGACATCCTGCTGATTGGACACAGACAAGCCTTTGCGTGGGTTGATGAGTGGTACGGTAAGTCAGAAGGCCCAGAATAACTTGGAGAACAGTTTCATAACACGTTGACTCGGTTTTCAGTACACCCAGCTTCAAGAGTAGCCTAGAAGAACAGCAACAAAGGGCAGGCCAGTGCTTCCTGTATTGGAAATAGCTCTGTCTGGTGAGTCTAATAGAGGTGTAATTATAGAAGTGTGGTCTGAAATAACCACAGAACTATTGACCAAGTAGGACCTTGGTGTGCTTGATGCTCATCTAGTGTATACACGGGGCTCCATTGTTCTCTGTGGGATGGATTTCAAACCCATCCTAATTTATCCAAAACTTCAACATTATCTGCAGCATCTTATTGAGTAACAGTCCCTTGATGCAGGGAACACTTGAAACAGTCCCTCATCAGACGCATGCAAGTTCTCTAAGATGTCAAGGACAGATGGAGGCTTAGGTACCGGGATGATCCTATTGAAGGTACTGCTCTGGCTTTTTGGTTTTGGTTTTGTTCTTCTTTAATATCATGCAAAGATTTTAAACAAGTTCTGCACATTGTCAGTTAATAAAAACAAGGTTTGCTTGGCACTACGATGGATGGACCACCCTCCCTGGATGCTCAGCACTGTGCTTGGATGGACGTGAGTCCTCTACTTCCCCGGAATCGGTCATGAGGTGGCTTGTGTCCTTGGCTATAAATAGAATTGAGAAGCGAGCATGCCCAACTGGTGACTTAGGATAAAGCTGACTTTATGTGTCTACAGTCCTAAGTCACATTGTTTGTCCTGGGTGTATCCTAGACTGTACTTTGGTCATTTTTCACCCTTATTCCCCCCATGCCTTCAGTTTCCACAGCTGATCCCCTGCCTAGTCCCGTCTTTAAGAGAAAGGCTACATTGGACAGAATGGGTAAGGGTCATGTTAGTCATTCATGCTGCCAGCTGGTCCTCTGTGCTGTAGACTCAGTTTGCTTAGTGTTTTGTTTCCGTTTTCCCAGATCTGCACCTGCTGAAGAGTAAGTGCATCTTTCTGGTTTGTCCAAATGCCTATCACAGCTCAGATTACTGTGGCACACACCCACAGGACGTTTTTCATGTACTACGCTGTCAGGAAGACTCCCCAAATCCTGTCTTTTATGAAACAAGGGGATGGAGAGAACTCTAGGAGTATTTCCTCCGGTCCTTAAATTCTTCTGGGTGTTTTTATTTTGTTGTTATTTTTGTTTTGGGGGGACTTGTTTGTTTGCTTGTTTACTGGGAAGCAAATCTCAGAGGGAATACAGATCTTTTCACAACACCCACCCTACACACAGAAAGAAAGCAAGAAAGAAAGGAAGGAAGGAAGGAAGGAAGGAAGGAAGGAAGGAAGGAAGGAAGGAAGGAAGGAAGACAGCAGGTGAAGTCATGCCTTTTCCTTTGATGTGTGCTTCTCAGAGCTCAGGATTCCCTTGTTGCCAACTCCTAGGAAATGTCACAAGGACGGTCAAAGAGGAGATACCACAAGGCTAGGCCTGTACTGATTAGAAGCTTACCAAAGGACAGGTACCTGGAGGACCTAGAATCTGCCACCTTGATGACCAGGAGTCAAAACTCTGCTGGGGTTCTCTAACACCAGGATGCTACAGGGGACTTTTCAGGCAAGACATTTTCAAAGGAGGGCTGGACTCTGCTCAAGTGGGCAGGACAGATTGCAATCTTGCCCTTCGAAAGAGAGGGTTTGGGGCCAGCGAGATGGCTCAGTGGATAAAGGCATCTGTGGCTAAACTAGTGACCTGAGCTCAATCCCCAGAGCCCACGTTAAAGGTGAAAGGAGAGAACTGACGCCACAAAGCTGTCCTTGAGCACCGTGATGCACACATCGTGCATACATACCCAATAATAAAAGTTCTTTTTTAATGAAAAAAGGGACTGGCAACCAACCGAGTGAGAGTGAATATCCCGTACAGGAACACGTAGGATGGACCTGATTCTTTTCTGTCTCAGCTAAGCCTGCAACAAGGAAGTGATGACTTAAGGGCATTTAATTGAGAGAGAGAGAGAGACAGAGAGACAGAGACTTGCCTAGCATATACAAGGTTCCTTTAGAATTCTCAGATTATTACAAGAGCCTGAAGCTAGAATAATATATTAGATGAAACACAGACTCTCCAGTCCAGGCTTTAAGAATTCCTACCTATTTACTTAGGATGAGTTGGAAGAAGGAAGGCATTTAACAACTCAAGGAGTCTGTGGATCACAAAGTCCTCTTGGTGGCTGAGTTCTGGTTGAAAGGCATAGGCTTTGGTGGATGTAGGCCATCAGGGCGCCTGCCCACCCCAGAGCGGTCTCCACCCGCTGTGTCCACAGTCCCAGTCCCAACCCAAACAAGCAGCAGCCTTTTCAGGCAACCACACCATCAGTTTGGCGCAAACTCTTGCAGACCTCAGCAGCCCGGCTGAACTGCTGGCCTGGAACACAGTGGCTCCTTCATTACCTGACATACAGACTCTCAGGAAATTAAATGAATAGAAATGAGCCCAGCCACTGAATGTCTCCTCGGCCACTTACTGACTCAAGGTCGTGCAGGGAACTGTGGGTCTTTCAGACAGATGGGTATGTTATTTCCAAGGCAAAGTCCAAACCAGGATAGTCCTTCAGTTAGGGTTCCCGGGGTTGCTTCTTTCCCTTTGGTCTTGTTCGTGCTGTGAGGCCTTCGTCAGTAAACATGGACAAGGTCCCCAGTGAAGAAGCCTCCCCGGGAGCTGCTTCAATTCCAGCTCTTCAAGCGAGGTCCCTGAACCTGCAATCTCTGCATCTCCTGGACGTTTGTTAGAGATGCATATTCTCAAGTCCCTAGCCCTCTGTGGTCCCAGTAGCCCTCCAGGTGATTCTGAGCTGCTGGCTCACAGCCTGGGATGTAAGCCAGCTTGGCTTGCAAGGACAGCGTAAATCATTCATTCCAAATAGAACAGACTGGAAGATTCATAGATGTTTCCGGGGCCAGCTGCTAAGCTCTGGTACCTCAGAAGAATTAGAAGAAGAAATAAGTAACCCATCCCTGGCTGCCTCTGTCTCTCAAATCAGACTCCCCATCTCCAGTACTTAATTATGAGTAGAGAAAAGACACCATCAAGAATGGTGATCTCTTCTCACCCAAGGAGTTGTTTCCACATCTCCTCTGAGTTCCAGCATTCTTGGAAGTCACGAAACCATTTCCCTAAGCAGATTTTATTCTGCTCGTGTTCATTGTAAAGTGCCAGCATGTCCATGTTGGAGGAGTTGAATTTGCTTTCCAAAGCCCTGATTGGTCTCTATCCGTGAGCCGTGAGCCTGTCTGCATGGCTAGCACACTAATCAGCTGAGCCCCAGCGCATTTCAGGAGACAGGGCGAGAGGGGAGGTGGATAAAAATAGCCAGCCTGGCTTCACAAAAAGCATGGATTTGCTTCTCAGATCTGACAGAGAGACACATAAGATAGCCACAGGGACCCTGTGATGGAGAAGGCCTCACGGGTATCCTTGAAAACCTGACTCTTCCTCAAACAAGTATGTGGGAGGCTGAGTTCTGGATGGTAGAGGAAACAGTCTTATGAAGTCATTTAGAAGTCAGCCAGAGTCCCCAGAGATGGCTTGTCAAGGAGAGACACAAGCTCAGGTGGGACACAAACTGAGTGAGTTTACCTCTACCAGTAGCCTCGGGTTTCCTGAAATCTGACCCTGAGCGTGTGTGTGTGTGTGTGTGTGTGTGTGTGTGTGTGTGTGTGTGTGTGTGTGTGTGTGTGTGTGTTCATTTTTCTAGGAAGAGGTGTCTGTAAACTCTTTTCCTGCCTACATTCCAACACGCAGCCCCCTTTTAAAAAATGGGTATAGTGGCACCAATATCTGTGACTCCAGCGCTGGGGAAGCAGAGGCAGGAGACTCGCCACAAGTCTGAGTTTGGAGTCTCAGGGAGTTCCAGACCAGCAAAGGCTACATAGCAAGGCCCTGTGTGCAGACAGAAGGAGAGAGAAGCTGGAGAGCTGGCCCAAGGGTTTAAGCTCTTGTGGCTCTTGTGGAGGACTGGGGTTCAGTTCAGAACCTACACGGTGGTTCACAGCCAGCCTCAACTCCAGTCCAGGGGCTCCGATGCCCTCTTCTGACCTCTGCGGGCACCAAGCATGTGGTGCACAACTTGTGCAGGCAAAATATCCACTCACATAAAATTGAATTGTATTTTAAGAAGAAAAACAAAATCAGGACCATCAAATGCCATTCTAGATCCTAGTGATCTGAATTTTGTGGGAAGGATGTGTACCAAGTCTTCAGGATTGACTGATTTCAATACAGAGAAAGTGGAAGCGCTTAAGTTTTTGTAAAATGAATGTGTTGGGGGGTGAGGCTGTTAGTTAGGTTATAATTGTTCTAATGGGATTTTTTTAAAGTCCCTACTAGGCCTATTGGTAAATGTCCACAATCCCTACACTCAGGAGGCTGTTATGAGTTCCAGGCTAGCCTGGACCACATAGTGAGTTCTAGGTTAGCCTAGGATATGTAACGAGACCCTGCCTCAAAAACAACAGTAATAACAAAGAGAATTTCAAGCTGAGTTTTGCAGATGGATGGCCACCATTTTGCTGGAGCCAGAAAGGTGTCTAGTCCAATTCATAAGTAGATCTTCTGAGACCCAAATACTTATTTCAACTTTGATTTTTGTCTCAGAATGATAAAACAATCATTTTTGTTTTGGCCTAGGAGTGTGGAAATGGAGAGATAATATAGGCCAAGTAAGCCAGAGCCACTTGGGGGTGTGTGTGTGTGTGTGTGTGTGTGTGTGTGTGTGTGTGTGTGTGTGTGTGATAACATACCTACAGCATCCTGGAATATGCATCCATAAATTTCTTTTTTTACATCCATCGATTTCTTACCATGGCTATCTCCAGATGTCAAAGAAGCTATAAGAAATTGAACACTTTTCTTCTCTAATTCATTACTCTTTGGATTTGCACATGGTATGAAGTGTGTGTGAAGGTCAGGGGACAACTTCTAGAAGTTTGTTTTCTCCTTTCACCATGTG